AATATTACATTACATTAACTAATGGAATCGTAAGTCCATAAAATCTTGGTCCCATTAGTTATGAAATCAACCCTTGATAAAATTGTACATAGATTTCATGTTTTTGTAGATCTAAAATTGAAAAATGTTTTACAGAGATCAACCAAGAGTCCCATTTTTGTGTACAAATTTTGTAAGGAATAATTATTAATCTTAACTTTTTGAAATATAGGGTGGATTAAAATTGTTTTCTTAGCCCTGATTCTACGTCAATGGGTTATCGTAATTTATCGAAATAGAGTGTGTTAACTAATAATGACGATTAACTAACATATACATATTTTTAAATTATAGTATATTACGTAACAGGAGTTGTAAGTAACCCATAACGCACGCAGTGAAAAAGTTTACGCACGAAGCCGCGCAGCAGCGAGTGCGTAATGGGCTTACAACTCGTGTAACGTACTATACTTTTTCTACTCCCACTTAAAACATTCTCATAAAAAGGCTTTAACGTTATGCTTATGTCGCCAATCCATAAATTTTCGATAGGTAATTTCGTACCTTTCTTTAGATTTTAGCGGTAACAAATTATGTGTGGCAGCTTGAGCTTTTTCTAAAATCTCCGGTGCAGTGCTCATAATTTCATCACTTTCACTGCTAATAAACATATTCGTAGGTAAAGTTGAGAAAATGTTCGGATACAATCATATTTTGTTACAAAAATTGACAATATAAATGGCATGACGTTTATTTCCATAGCATGCTAAGAAAACGTGACATATTTTTTGAAATATTGTATAATATGTTGTTGACATTTAGGGGCATCACTCTTTTAATCCAAAATGTATATCGTTAATGCTAAAAGTTTTTTTTAAATGACTAAATTTATGTAAATGGACCACATAAAGTCTTACGTAGACAAAAATTTGATTGCAATTTGATTAAACCAAGAAATTTAAGTTTTCTTATCAAAACGCACGTGTATGTTATGAGATCTCATTACGTGCATCTTATTGTTAAATGTCATGTACAAGGAATGTAGTGTGATTTTTAACGTTTATTGACATGGGCGTAGAAAAAAGTATTTAACGTACGGGAAAATATTTAGAAAATTATGTAATTATAAAATTCACTTTATTACCCTGTAGAATGAAAACTGGGACGTTTACAGGAAAATTGTATTTAGCTTTTCTTTATAATTAGTTAAGATCTACACGTCCCCTAATTTACGGTACTTTAATCTGAAACACCCTGTGTATATATTTTAATTTTTAATTTATGGGAATATTTTTATTTTAGATGACAATGTTTGAGAAACTCTTTGTTTTACTGTATTTATTTATCTTTCTACTTTTGTTTATTATAACTTATAAAAAAATAAGTACGTTGACTATAACTTGGGGGGGGTAATTACCCCCTTATCTACGCCCTTGATAGGACATACAAGACTTACACACGGTTACTTAATGTCTCCTGGTAATGAGCCTCCACGATTTCAGCCTTGTAACGATACTGTTCTCACTGTATTCGAAGAAGATTTCAAAGTCTCTTTAAAAGAAATAATAAACAGCCAATATATGGTGGTAATCAAATTTTTACAAGATTCTCAGTTGCGCCATATAATTACAATATTCATATTTTATAATGTAACACTGTAAATAGTAAATACTGTTTTTGTGTCAATGGCCAATAAGCTTCCGAGACACGTTAATTTTAAATAAAAAAATAAATATTTAAGTCTTAAAAACATCTTGGCAAATAAACTGATAAATTTTTTAAAAATCTCGTATAAACATTATGTGTATGCATTTTAAGAATACCTACTTAAATACTTTTAAAAAATCACTACGATCAAATAATATTACTACGATGTTAAAAAATATAATTGACTCATTCGTCTTATTTTTTTGTATTGGATTATTTTATATTTAATGACTTTAAGAATTTTCGAAATCAATTAAAACTATTCACTCATATTAATCTTCAATAGCGATCTCTAATTTTATGAAACAACAAAAAATTTAAATGAGAATGAATAAAAAATTAATCAGTTTTTTTGAGGTCACCCTGCAATGGTACGAACATATTTTTTTCTAAATACAAAATATACTTCTAATGTAGCACGAATATAATATATTATTGAAAATCTTTTCACATATGAGTTATTTTATTCCATAATATATTAGTTATTTTCCCACACTGTAACATTGAGAAAGAAAATAATCAAATTCAGTCTCACAGTTGACAAAAAACTTAATCAATTTTGACTTTCCAGCGGCGGGGAAAAAATGTTTTAGATTCAGGCGGCTTTTTAATTTTAGCAAATTTAAATTTTGCTTCCCTCAAATGGAGCAGTCCTAGGCCCAGGTCTCGCGGGTCCAGGTCTCGCGGGCCTAGGCCCCCTGAGCTGCTCGAAGAACTACTGAAATATATTAAATTGTAATTTTACGAGAAAGCAAAATAACAAGATAGTGATGAATAAAATTATTTACCCCCTACCCCGATAAAGCTTCCCAGATTCGCGCCTGAGAGTTCTTGGGAATAAATATGATACAGGGTGTCATCCAAAAAGGGTAAAATAGTCCAGGGGATTGTACTACTTCTAAAACTAAATGTTTATATGAACACGTGTCAGAAAATGCAAATTGAGGGAATTATTTTATCTGTTTATTTAGGTAAAGTTGGCTCTTTTTATAAGATATGCAATAAAATTTTATTATGTGAATTTTCTTTTCCTACGAATATAAAAATTTAATAATTTATTTTTATATCACTTCTGTATGTCTACCATAGGATTGCAGTTGCTCCATTTAATTTGCAGCAAGAGTACCTTTTTTGTGTAAAAAAGAACATAGTTCTGGAAAAATTATTTAGATTTTGCAAAAATATCATAATGAAAAAGTTATTGATAAACAACCCTTACAAAAACTATCACCATTGATTAAGCTATTAACTTTTTGACATCGCCAGCAGATTTAGTGGTAAAATATATAGCAATTTGGAAATTTTGTGAACTAGCTATTAAAAAAACTTTTCAAAATGTATATTTCTAAAGCCTATATCTGCTTTTTCGGACATTTTTCATATTTGTATGAGTATTACCACCCATCTAAAAATTTTTCACCCTGTATATAATAATTTATTATATGAATATATTACATTATTTTGGTTAATTTTTATTAAATAAAAAAATTAAAAAAATAAATTAGCATAAAAAATAGTTTAACATTCAAATTGACCGTATGGTAGTGATATATGTTTTTTTTTTTTTTAACTCTAGAACCCTATAAAATCAAAGAAAATTTCAGATTTCTTTACAATTTATTTTAATGTATTTCATGTTATGACGTTATTTAATTTTTGTGGTATCTCCATTATAAAAAATCAGAAAGCAATCCTTTATTAACAGAACTTAAAAGCATTTAAATAGTAGTGTAGTAATAGTTACTTATGCAACAAGTGCATTGTCGAGTGTAATAAATACTTTTTGCACGAGTTGCATTCAATATTTTTTCTACGTTCATGCAAAAACCAAAAAATGTTTTATTTAGGCGACAATAAGTGAAGAAGAATAAAAAGCGTAATTTAATAGTAAAATATTTAATAACTAATAATTAGCATCGATTAACATTGAAAAAGTACTATAACTATGGTAAGAAAAATACATTTTTTATTAATTTATTTATTAAATGATTGAAAATAATATAAAATATGCAATTGTTTTTAAAATCTAATAAAATCTCATAGAAAATTAAAATGTACTAAATATTTGGCGTCGATTTGAATATTTATGTTTGTCATGATCATAAAACGCTGTAGTAAAATGACAGATGAGTACAATAAAATTTTTATTGCACTAGTGCGATAAAGAACCAGTTTTTTCATTAAATATAGTTCAATAAAGTTTTGTTTTTGCATGAACGTAGAAAAAATAATAAAAGGCTCATTGTAAGAATGTAATCTGTACCCTGTATATCAAACACTAGTCATAAGATCGAGTTAAGTCCGTGGTTGTTTTTATAAAGAAATTTTGAAATATTAAACGAATGTCATTTGTCCATAAGGAAAGAGCGAAGTCCTTTGACAGGAGGTGGCAATTTCCCCCTTTGTCTCCCCTGGCGGCGTCCATGATTGAAGGGTATTTTCATAATGTAAATTTCTAAAACTGTTATATTGTTTATATAATTTGAATCTGTATGACACTGGCTCTTCCTAATTACTACCTTTAGTCGACACCCTTGGAATTCATTACCGGTGATACGATAGTCCAGTTCGTTTATATCGGTTCATTTAAGGGCAATAGAAAGAGATCAAGAGTTTGATTATTGTCGAATCTGTTTGAAAGTTTTATTATATCTATTCTTATTACAGTCCTCAAATTGCGGGGATGATTTTACAATGTTCATAACAAATTTTTCCTCAATATTATAAAAAAAAATTAAAATTGTTTACAATACTTTAAAATTCCTTTAAATCAAAATAATTGTTTATCTTGTTCACATTATTAAAAGCGTGAGAGAATTCAGGATGAAAAAATTAAAACTTTTCACAATTATTTTAAAATTATTCACAATTTCTTGTTATGTTGTTTCGGAATTTATTGGACAATGATACCCGCAGAAGAACAATTGTCGATTGTAATACCTTTCCAGCACAAAAATATGAATAGAAAATCACTCTATAAACTTCATGTTTTTTTTTTGGCACAAAAGAGCATTAATTTTGGTAATGTTTTAATTATTGCGAAAAAATCAACTAGTAGGTAGTTGCGTATAGATAGAAAAGTAATCATAACAATATGTTAAAATCAACAACGGTTATTTGATGTTTTAAAGTTTAAAAACCAAAATATTATAAATAAACGTTTTACATTTAAACAACAATACAATTTCGTAACAACAATTACGAAGACTTGCATTTGCACTCGATGCGGCGATGTGTAAAGAACAATCACACTTACCGGCTAAATAGTTTAAACAAAATAGGGCACTGGGGCGCCAAAAAAGAAGACGACTTACCATAAATAAACGTTTCGGTCTTCCGTCTTCCGTCGCGGGGCGAGATGCTTAATCCAAAATTAATCTGTCACAACATTAAATTAAAAACTAGCAATGGAAGCGCACCTTCAAAAATACAATTTGAATCAAGGCAGGATGATATCAATTGATGGATGTACACCGACAAACTAGCACCACTGCATGCGGTATACCCACTGTATGTGAAATACACCAATCTCAACTGTTCTAGCACCAATGCGAATACGTGCTGCTATAAGTACTTTGATTTTAACTTAATCCACAGGGTGTTACACAATGCGGTTGTCAGGTGAGACGTAGGTACAACAAAAACTCAATACAATTTTTTTCGTTAGCTAAATTAAAGCTTACAAATTGTTTGATGACATATGCATGGCACACGACTTCTATGTCGTTTCTGTCAATTGAACAGGAAGGCTAGGTCAGTCGAAAAACGTGAAAGTATTTTATTAATTTATTTTGATTTCGCACTTAAACTACTTACATTTGATGGCCCAAGCGTGCGATATTTATATTAATCAAATTTCGTTTCCTAAATGAGCTACGAGGGTGGGATGATAATAGTATCGCATGCGTTACGTAGTATATTTTGCCTACGACCACTTACACAGGTAAATATATATGTAAATACTTATATAATAATATATTTTGTGCTTTTTTGTTTACTGTGCGTTTTGATTCCCGTGCGATATGTTTACTAAGCATAATGAACTATTTACTTCGCCTGTTGGTAGTGTATTTTTGTCTGCTTTCTATAATGGTCGTAGGTGTGTCTCCAAAAGGTTGAGACATAGCTTAACTATATACTCCTGGGATAAAAATAGATGATTTAACCCAACTTATCTTTATCATTATTAAACACCAAAAATCTCGTATAATAAATTTGGTGATAATTTTTTAGAGTCTACGCAGAAAATTTTAAATGGATCGCGAGACCTACGTTATAGTAAATAAAATCGTTTGTGTTTTATGAACCTTGATTACGAGAGGGGTGTTCGGCAGATAACAGGTCCTCAAAGTACCTAAAAATGCAAAAATGATTTTTTAATATGTTCAACTGGATAACATTATAATCAACAATTGCTTGACAATTTTCGCGGGGGTTACGTCTGCCAGACGCCTTCAAGGTGTCGAAAAATGTCTGCATTTTATAGAAAACTTTTTTATTGTTAATTTCTCAGAAAATTTTATTCTTGATAAAAGTTAGTACATGACATAAATCACTGTCCAAACTGCATCATATTTAAAAAAATAACATACGAGGGAGGTAAAAAAATATGAATTTAACAGTTATTTTTAAAAAACAGAAAAATGATACTTATAAAACTTATTTAAAATCATTATTTTTCAGCAAATATAAAACATCACAGTCACCATCCAGAAAAATATGGTTGAATTTTAACAAAAAATATTTTTTGACCTTCCGTTATTTGGACGGTTATTTAACAATAATATTCAAACAGCCTGACACATTCGACCAGTGGCGGCTCGTGGGCACTAGCGGCAGTGAGGCACACACTGGAAAGGAATCCCAGGATTCGTTTTTCCCTTAAGAAAACAAGTTCTCCGCTTAATGAAAATTAAATATATTTCAAAACAAATTAAATATTACAAAATTGAAGACTAACTGCTAGGTACCGCTGCAGTTGTATACTATTTCTTATAGTTGAAGTCCATTCTTCTGGATTTTTGGCTAGCAAAGTGATCGATGACCAGATTATTAAAATTTGGAATAGACCGAATAAGTTTTTTTTCGATGGATAACAGGGCTAACGCGCACAATCTATTTTGGCACATAGTGTTCCTTAAAAATGTTTTAATACGGTTTAGTGTCACTCTCCACTGTGGTCATGGAATTGTACACAGGATAGTTAGCAGCTCCACAGATTCCGAAAATGTAATTTTCAAATTGTTCTCAAAAAACATTTGTAATAACGGTACGGCCCCAGTGTGTTGCACAAAGTCATCTCGGGTGTAAAGTATGGACAGTTCGTTTTTGAATTTTAAGCTGTTTACGTTTGGCAATAAACTACACACAGTTTTAACGTCCTCATTTGGAAAACAACCTCGGTAGTCTTTAAATTTTTCACTATCAAATAAACTTGCAATTGTTAGGTGGGTAATAAAACTAAAACGTTCATTTACCTGCACACTATTGTATCACAAATTTCCTTACATATCCTTAAATTAGGAATGGGGTCCTCCTTTTCAACAAACCGTCTCTTCTTGCTTGTACTTGGACCTGATTGGGTGTTGTCGTTTAAGTTTAGTTCTTGTGGGTCTTGTTGTGATTGCCATTCTACATGAATTAGCGTGTCTATATTATTTCTAATATTTTGAATAGCTACTGCAAAATTTGATATGTTTATCTTAACCTTGAGACATCGAGCTATCTACTCTGTAGTTGATCAAAAAGTATATCGCAATTTGGCATTATTTTGCTGAAGAAAAATAACCAGAAACTAAAATCTGTCTTTCAAAATTTATCAACCCTTTAGTCTGATTAAATAAAATAAAAATTCTAACGCTTCTTACTACTTGTTATGTAATATACTTACGACTGTTATAAAATAAATGCTATATTATCATACTCACCTGTAATTTTTTAGAGGAATTTAAAATCCTTAATTTGCTTCTTTTTCCATAAATTTAGTAATATTACATATAATTTCTCTTGTTTGACTATTAAGGGCCCCCCCTTTTAATCCGAGCCTTTGGAGCCATTAAAACACAAAAACACAATACTTATATGTAAATATAAATCACAAGGCACTATAATTATATAAAATTGTCACTTTTCGCACTATATTCACTTTGTATATACTCGACCCAGGTTACGCCACTGAATGACTAAGTTTGGCTTCGCCGAGTGGCCGTTGCTAGGCAACAGCCAGTGCGCAACTTTTGTCGTCCCCATGCTGTGTACCAATCTTATCTTGGCCCGGCTCTACAACACGTCACGATCAGGACAGCGCCCCACTTGTGACGTATAATCCATCGCATGTATTCATCTCTTGCTAAGCGATATTGTCGTTGTCCTTGTTTTTCGCATCATAATGAGACAGTAAACAACAGAGGCACACATTTACTGTGCCCTGTGTCCATCTTCCACTTAATTTCGGAATTCTCGGAACGTCGCTCAACGCCCGGTCGACCAGTGTCGTGCCAACGCGGTTTGCGTTGAATATTAGATAAAATAATAATAGGCATTGAGGAAAATATAAAATATGTGTTTATTATACTAGGGCACGTGCCCATAAGTACCCTTACGGGCAAACCACCACTGCATTCGACGGATCTAAAAGGTCAGGGCGTAACTAAGAGTAAAAGAGCATCCTAGTGGGAGTATTAGTTGAGTTTATTAGTGATATAAGAAATTTATATTTTTTTTAAAGGATATGTTTGTGTATAACGTTTCAAAAAACATCTGCACCTTATAGCAAAAAAATTGTATTGTTTATTTCTCAGAAAATTGTATTCTTTATAAAAATTAGTACATGACCGAAGATCTAGTTCAAAAATTCTTACATATTAAAATATTTGTACCATATAGAGGGGTCTATTCTGTAACAATTCCTTTATATTTAACGGCCTTTAAAAATATTTTCTTCTTTACTTCTGTCATTATTTAAACGGATCTTTAAAATACATTAGAGGACTATCTTAAAGAAATCTGTTTAAATAATGACAGAATAAATTAACGAATACGAACATATTTTTAAAGGCTGCCAATATTTTTAAAGGCCGTTAAATATAAAGGAATTTTTACAGAATAGGCCCCAGAGGGGGTCAAAAAATATGAATTTGCAGTTTTCTGGATGGTGGTTATGATTTTACATATTTGCTGATGAATAATGATTTTAAACAAGTTTTTCAAGTAACATTTTTCTCTGTTTTTAACAATAAGGATTCTTTACTCTCGAGCCTAATTTTAGGTTATGTACTATAACTTTTATCAAGAATAACAGCATTAATTAACAATAAAAAAGTTTTCTATCTTTAAATTAGTATTATTCGTTAGTTAGTCAAAGTCACAGAAGTTTAGTGTAGAAGTGTTTTAATATCTGGAGTTTTCGGTTTCTTTCTTAATAAATTTATCAACAATAATAGCTGCAACATATTCTTATGGTGAACAAACTGATTTGTTTCTAGGTTTCGGATTTTGGAAAGGAAGTTGTCGGAGAAGCGTGAGAGTAAAGAAAGATTTCCTAATCATCAGATCTATAAAATTTCACTTTTATTTTAACATCCCTTAATATGTAATTCATTCAAACCTCCCTCCCCTTCATCAAACTAAACATCTCCATCTCCAACAACAAGAATATAAAAAAATATAGACTTTTCCATGTTCACCGCAACAAATTTGCTCAGACGTCACGTATAGTACTCGTACATGAAATGAATCCTAAATGCGACATCACCGTCTTATTTAGACAACATCAGTACCTACCTACCTACCTACCTATCACCGTATTTCAGGCTGAAATACATAATATGGCAATCTGTGCGAAAGAGAAAATCTTAGATGAAACTACAAAAAATTAACCTTCTCATCATTATTAGATTGTATTCAAACAAATAATCCAGTCAGAGCTGATCTGAAAATGCCTTGGAACAATTGAATATACCTGCTCCGAACAAGGTTGTAACTAACAATATTTCAAAAACGGTGCTAAGCATTAAACACGGTTCTAAACAATATATTATAGTACGATCTCCTTGCTGCCTTAAAATCCATATTATTAAGAAAAATTTTAGCTTACAAAAGCTGCCTCGGCCAAAACAAGGTTGTAATAGATAGTCAAGAGCGTTTGTTTGGTTCTGAAAATGTTTCCTGTAAAATTTGGTCTTTGATAACTACAACAATTATGGAACTGGCAAATCACAATATGGTAAAACCAGCATTGGTACCAGAGCACCAAGAAAATGAAACGGATGATAAACTCGCTCAGCAAGAAAGTCCATTTACAGGACCTGAACTTGAACCATCATTAAGCTGATGCTGAAGAGATCAAACCACGTGTGGCTACTGAATATTCTAACTTTCTGCTGACAAGACCTCATAGGTATATCCAAATTACTTAATAGGCTTGGTTGAGGTACTGCTTGCTGAACCACCTTCATGTGACGGAATTACGCGACGATACCCCACGTGTGGGATACCCATTATCAGTGGCGTAGCCAGCCATTTTTCATGTGGGGGGGGGTTTGAGAACTATGGGGGTCCAACAAGAAAGGGAATAAAAACAAACAATCAATAGCAATCAGTGCTAAT